CTCCATAATAATGCCAGAAAAGAAGTAATATCAGCTGGAGTCTAGGCTCTTGTCTTTGTTTTATTATTATTATCAAAGAAACATGATACTTTTCAGTATTCATACCCAGAGACAGATTGCTGTGGATGACTTAACTGATGAAATAATTGTTTTCAACAAGTATGGCAGTTTATTAACTTGCAACAGAAAATAGAATTGTGGCATTAGAGATATAGTACCTTGGTTGAAGTATGTGCCTTGGCAGGGCTCAGCAGAACCATGTCCTTGGGCCCTTAACCTTAAGCTCTGTTGCCAAGAATCACTCATATGACCTCCCAGCTCCTGGGAACCACTTGGTAGCCCCCATCTGTCAGTATGGTCAATACCTTCTGCATCTCAGCAATGATTAAGAAGCAGATATCACTTATATGTGGTATTTAGAATAACTGAATTAGGAAATACAATGGTTTAAAGGAGAGAATGCCTATATCTCCCTTGGACCCGAAGTATATGAAGGAGAAGGAAAGAAACTGAGAGAAGAGAAAGGGGAGAAGAGATACTGAGAAACAACGGGAGTAGGGGTCACGGGAGCTCAGCTACATCGTTGATGTTAAGGAATGATAGAGCTAAATATCCTAACAACACTGAAATCACAAAGCCCAAACTTTAGTAACCAAACTTAAAAGGTAACTTCAATGTGGTAGGCTGATGTTGTAAGAGGAGCTAAGAGAGGGAACCTGGGAACACTGGTGGGGGGAGGTTGACATTGGTGATGGGATCGATGATGGAATATTGTATGTCAAATCCCAACTATGAATAACTTTGTAACTTACAGTGCTTTATTAAAAAGAGAATTTGGGGGATAAAAAAACATCATGGTGGGGAAGTTGTTTGGTCAACATGGCATCATCACATAGAGGTATTCTTAGTGTAACCACACCATTCTTGGGACACAGCTTAGCATTCAGTATCATCTGTATCATGAATACTGCAGTCTTGTCAGCAGCTAATGAATTACTTCAACTTCAGTGGCCTTTTACCTATATTATTTCTGGTCTGCGAACTGAACACTAACAATCATATATCTCTGCAAAACACCCTTGTTCTGATTTTGATGTCTCACTAGCTCTCCTTTTACTTTGCATTATACTTTAATGTAAATTCATAAAATACTAGAGTTGCAGTCAAACTTTCAGTATTTGGACTTTTCTGTCTCTTTACAAAAAATATAAAACCTTGGCCTTGTGTTTTTAGACATTTTCTTTTGGATAACATTCTCAAAACCTAACATAAATATTGTCTATTGTTTACTACATTGAATTAAAATCATGAATGATTTTCCTAATATCAGACACTAAATCATATTTGCTACTCTTTACATTCCACATAAAAATGCATCACCTAACTTAAAATAGGCATTTAAATAAACATTTAAAATGACCCAGTAGACATGTTTTCACCGTCTGTCCTCCTGTTGTTCATTGATTTTCTCAAGCAGGCCCAGTAACGTCTCCATTGTGAGACTTTGTTGTTACTGTGTTTGGCATATCAAAGATGTCACGGGTAGCTTGCCAGGTTTTGCTGTGCGGGTGAGATACTCTTGGTAGCTTGCCGGGCTCTCTGAGAGGGGCGGAGGAATCGAACTCGGGTTGGCCATGTTGGCTGCGTGCAAGGCAGACGCCCTACCCGCTGTGCTATCACTCCAACCCAGACATGTTTTCATTTTTTTTTATTGAATCACCATGAGGTACACAGTTACAAAGTTGTTCATGATTGGGTTTCAATCATATAACCTTCCAAAACCCTTCCCTTCACCAGAGTACATTTACCACTACCAATGTCCCCAGTTTCCCTCCCCAACCTCAGATTATCATGTTTGCTGCCTTACCTACTTTCAACATTCAGCTTTTGTTCAGAGTGATCATTTCCAAAGATCATTGTCATAATGCTCCCTTCTCTATAACTGCCTTTCTTCACCTCATACCAGCACCACTTGTGGAAAGCCTCTGGGTACCAATTCTTTTGGTTCTTGTTTCCACAGACATTTTTTTAAACAAATTAATTAGGAGGTATAAATGTTAATTGTTATGAGTATAAATTTTGAAATTATATGATCTGCTTTCAAAACCTGTTTTGCTAATTAATAGTTTATCATTTTGGTAAATTACTTAATCTGTTTTATGGTTTATAAATGGGCATAATAATAATTTGTGTCTGGCATATCGAATACTCTCGGTAGCTTGCCGGGCTCTCCGAGAGGGGCTCGAGCAAATCGACGATCAACGGGAGGGCCTTTACCTTTACCTTTACCTTTAATAATAATTTGAGGTGTTTCAGGGAAATTGAGAAAACTTAATAAGTTAATATATATAACAAATTTATAAATGTATTTGAATTCTTAAAATATTAACTGTTAGCATAATCAATCTCTGAGACTTTTATATTAGACTTTTCCTCAAGTCTTTAAATGTGTCTTATTTTGAAAAGTGCAGCATAGTGCTGTTCTCATTTAAGTGTCATCATTGGATATTAATCAAAAATTGATTGTTTTTGTTCACAAGAGTTTAGTAAAATGGAAACTCCCATGTGTTGCTGGTGGGAGTATGAAATGGTACAATCTTTAAGGAATGCAATTTGGCAATATTTATCAAGAGGCTTATAAAAGTTAATTCCCTTTGGTCCAGTAATTCCCTCCTAGAAATTTATCTACCCTAAAGTCCACAGTCAGAAACTTGGATAAAACATATACATGGTCATGGTTTATCACAATATAGTTTATCAAGCCCCCAACTGCAAATTACATACTTGACAAGTAATGGAAGAATGATTATACAAATAATGCTACATCATTTGACGAAATATTATGTAACTCTAAAAATAACATTTTTAGTTATTTAATACTAAAGGAAAATCTCACCAATTTTGTTAAGTTCAATAAAACAAAAATCACAAAATTGTATGAATGGTGTGATTTCCTCCAAATGTAAATAAATCAATAAATTAAAATTATGGTGATTACCTTTAGATGAGGCAGTAGGAGATTTTTTTCCTCAACTGTTATCATTCTTTTCTAAAATTTATTCAATGAGCTATTATAAATGGAAATAGCTCCTTAAAAATGATGATTTTCCGTTTCCTTTGATATGCAGTTTTAAAATATGTGTTACATATTAAGAAATTTCTATCAAATTTAAACTTTTTTTAGTGAATTATTTCTTCAGTTTTTACCAGAAAATTAAGAAAGGATCAATTTAATCTTGAATTTTTGCAGAAAATCTTGCATTAATATTTGATTAAAAAACAAACTTTAACTACAAGTAACTTATTTTGAAAGTGCTTGAAGTAAAATCAATGCTTAGTTTTATTTCTTAGTGAGTAATCGGTTTACTTTTACATTTTTCTCTTTTCTTCTAAATTTTATTTTATTAAAACACCATGATTTACCAAGATATTGATAGTTGGGTTTCAGACCTACAGTGTTCCATCACCAATCCAGTCACAAGTTTCAATTTCCCTTTACCAGTGTTTCTAAGTCCCATCCTACCTACCCCTCACCCCCAACCTGTCACCTTGACAACCACCTTTTTATGTTTTGCTATTAAAGTTTGAGTCTCATAATTTTAGTATTGTTGACTCTGTGGTTAGGATATTTAGCTCTAACATTCCTTAATACCACCAATGTACCTTGACCCTTGCCCTCTGTTGCTTTTTATCTCTCTCTTCATGATCTCATCTCCTCCACTTATCTTTTCTTATCCTGCTTATATTTTGGGACCCACACATGTTGGCCCAGGCAAAATTCTTACCAGTAGTGGATGAAAGTTTCTTTTTCATCACATCTCTGCCACGACAGATTATTTCCAGTACTTTTAACATATGCCATTCTCACTGGTGTAAGATGATATCTCATTGTCATCTTAATTTCGATTTCCCTAATAATAAGTGATGCTGAGAATTTCTCATATGTCATCTAATAGTCTTCCTCAGGGAAGTATCTTTTCATTTTCTCTTTCCATTTTTTTTCATAGGGTTTTTAGATTTTGTTGTTGTTGTGATTTATATGAGTATTGATATACTGCATATCAACCCTTTAGCTGATGTGTTGAGGGCAAATATTTTTTTCCATTCAGTTATCTGTCTTTTAGTGTTATCCTGTTTTATTTTGTTTTTTTTTTTTCACCATGCAGAAACTTTAATTTGATGCAGTCCCATTTGTTTATTTTCTATTCAGTTGTCTTTGCCAGTGGCATTGTATCATTGAAGACACCTTTGGGGTCCAGATCTTTTAGTGTTCTGCCTATATCTTCAATGTATTTTATAGATACTGGTCTGATATCACGTCTTTGATCCACTTTGAATTGACTTTTGTGTAAGGTGTGAAATATGGATCCAATTTTAATTTTATACGTGGTTATCCAGTTTTGTTACCACTTATTGAAGATGCTGTCTTTACTCTATTTCACGTTTTCAACTCCTTTGTCAAAAACTAGCTGACGATATACATGGAGGGGTTGTCTTTGGATAGTCTATTTGACTCATTGATTAGTCTACCTTTATTCAAATGCCACATTGTTTTGATCACTGTGACTTTATAGTATAGTTTCAAGTTAGGTAATGATCTAACACCCCCCTCAACACACAGACACACAGACACACAGACACACACACACACATACACACACACAGATTCTTATTTTTCAGTACGGTTTTGGTCATTTGGGGATCTTTAATAATTTCATACAAACTTTATTTTGAACTGTTCTAAGTCCCTAAAGAATTTTGTCTGAATTTGGATGGGGATTGTATTGAATCTATATAGTATTTAGGTATAATAGTCATTTTGAAACTAATGATTTACATTTTCTTAAAAACACCTCAATTCAGAACAATTCAGAATTTAATAGTTAACTCTAAGAACTTAGAAGGAAAGAGACACTCTTGTAAGTAAGAATATTTTATTTCTATAAGGAATTAGTTAAATTTTATGGTAGTGATTACCTTTTTTTTTCTTTTTGTGACAGGAGTTGTGAAGGAAGAAATATCAGGTATAGAACCTGCAGTAATGTGGTAAGTAAAGAGGTTCTGTGATTATGAAAATGTAATTTTTGAGCATTAAATAATTTTAAGTAGATTTATGTAACCTGAGCAGGAAGTCAATCAATTAGTATTTTAACACAATTTATTCTGTTATACTGATTATAAAGCAGTACTTTAAAAATGTTATTTAATATAAACTTTTACACATTTGACTAGATTGGAAATAATTAAATTATTTCAAAACTAGAACTTTATGCTTTTTATCTCTGCTTCTGATTTTTCACATCTAGGTCTCCTGAAAGGGAGAATTAAGAATGATATTGAAGTCTCCTGAGATAAAGACTAACTAATCTAATTCGAATTTGGCAAATTCATTCAAAATTATTATTATTCAAAATCAATTATTATTCAAAATCATTCACTATTATTAATGTCAACTATGTGTGCGACACAACACTTGTACAAGAATAGATAACATGTGGTCACTGTCAAAACATCTGTAACATAATAAGGCGTGGAGAAAAAGAAGACAGATGTGTACTTAACCACATTCTAGAATAAAATGTGACAAACACTGCTTTAAAAAGGAATAAAAATATCTGTGGGTAAATAACCAAGACATTTGGGGAGTCTTTACTAGAAGGTGTCTTGGTAGTGTTGTGAGGTCAAGACTGGATCTGACTGGCCCATATTGGGTTTGAGAGGTCATATTCAGGAAGCATTATGGATAATATTGAAAGCAGGATTCTTTGTGGTGAATTCTGGACAGAAATATGGTCAGTATTGTGTTTTGTAGTATGGTAGAAAAAATGTAACTATGTTTTAAGGTTCCACCATAAATAGTATTAATTTTAAGTTTCCAAATTATATTCGTTCAAGGGACAGAGAGGATATGACTCAACAGTAGAGCATGTGCCTTGTATATATGAGGCCCTGGGTTTAATCCCTGGTACCATAAACAAACAAATGAAACAAAGTTTATATTACATCAGAGAATAATGAGAATTCACAGAGGTTTTGGAATAAGACTATGTTAGTGTTGAGTTTTTCTTTAGGAAGACTGAGTTTTCCTGTAGGAAGACTTCTCTTCAAGGAGACTAATTATGTAGTGGAGGAATAGAGTGGAACAGACATGGATGGGAGCCAAGAAGTAATGATGGTTTAAACTGGGAGGAAATAGATATGACAGATTCAAATTAAAGCCATTCTGCAAGATTTAATAATTTAGAGTAACAGAAGTAATAGCATATGCATAGTTTGAGCTCTTGTACTTATGAATAAAGGAATAAAGGAAATGGCTTATGCATAGTTTGAGTTCTTGTGCTTACTCAATGATCCTTCTGTTAGAACTCCTCCTCTCTTCCTCCCTTCCTTCCTCCCTCCCTCCCTCCTCCTTCCCTCCCTCCCAGTATTTTTGTGACTGGTGTTTTCCCTCTTCTGTATCAACTCAAATCTCACAGAGGTTTTCTTGACAATCATCTAATATAGTGATCCCACTATCCAATCTCATACCTAATAGTAACCAATAACACTTTATTTACAAGCATATCTCTATAATATGCTTGTAAAGCATATTATAAATGCTATGTAGAGATAATTTGTCTTCTTTGTTTACTTGTTGATTTCCTATTTACCCATTTTCCTATTTCTAGAATTTTACTACATAAACTATGAACCTCATTCATCTTATCTACTCTTTTATTTCCAATGCCTAGAACCATTGACTCACATATATTAAATTCAAAATATTTGTAGAATGTAAAACATAGTATTTGTGTAAAGTACTTAGAATTTTAGAAGAAGGGTAAATACCATTTTCATAAGAAAATAGGAAGAAAGCTTAGGAAAGTAAATATCTAAAAATGAAAAATATTACTTAGGGGCATTATTGAGTTTTATGTATAAGCTGAAATTATAATATTTCCAAGCAGGTAATATTACAGGAGTCTTAGATTGGTAATAAAGAGGTGCACTGAAGTAGTTTCCATCTGAAAAAAGGAGATACAGACTGAAGTCATATAAAACACAACAAATAACTATAAAATTTGAAGATTTGGTAGTAATTGTTAGCTTGTGTGTATATAATGATAAAGAAAGTAGCCTCAGAACTGTGGTGAATGTCTACAAGCAGTACAGTATAGAATGATATTAGCCTTGAAATATACCAGGAAAGAAGTGAAAAAAATTGAATTTCTGAAGATGTTGAATTGGATAAATGTTGCCAAGATGTTGAAACATGAAAAAGCCAGGAGAGAAGTCTCTAAGTGTATGATAATTGAAATAAAATTCATGGGATAGAGAGTAGATAAATATGGAATCAATGTTTATAGGCCCTTCTTATAAAGTGTGATAGAGACATTTCATCATTTGTGGACTCACAGATTGGTGGATTGTTTATAATGTGAGATCCCTGGGAAAGGAGTGGTCTAAGGGGAGATATTGATAAAATATGGAGATAATTTGTGAGGGCAAGAGTTTACTTAATGCCAGAACTCTGAAAGGACAGATGGTAACACAAATATGGGGAATCATGATAAGAAAAAATAACATGTATTTCATTCTTAGAAACAAAGTTGAGAAAGGAAGCATGAGGGTGTATGTTGGATCAGTTTGTGGTGAATAGACTAAGACTTATCTGTAGAAAATATTTCTAAGTCATCTGCTGACAGTAGAAAAGATAATTCAGACTTTGAAAATCAGCATTAAAACTTAGAATTATCACTGGGAACAAAGTGAAAGCTAGAAAAGGGGAAAAAATAATGGATGGTCAGATAAAGGGCTTTATCTGAAGATAGACAGTTTGATCTTACAGAGTGTGTCAGTGGGTTCTTGAGTTTGGAACACTGAGATACATTGAAGCAAGAATAGAGAAAATGGACATTTAAAAGACACATGATCAAAATATACATGACAGGATAAAGCCTAAATTAATGAAAGATTTTCATTTTAAATGCCTGACCAGGGAGAGTTTAAGGAACTAGTAGACTTAGTGATTAGGAATAAGAATCATTGTTCATTGGAAAATTCTGCTCCATTTATTTCTCTATTTCCAATTGGGATACAAGATCCTTGGCACAGCTTGTATCGTAACTTCCTTCAACACACACACATGCACTCACACACACTCATACACACATAATGAACTGTTGGCTAATTACAAAGATCAAATAATTGTTGGGGTAATTTTTTTTAGAAATGATAGAAAATTTTCTTTGAGGAAAATATACCTTTATGCATTGATTTTCTTTACTATGCCTTTTATTATACTGTGGTGAGACTTAATTCTTAATACTGAACATAGATCAAGATTCTTGTCCATTTTTATTTTAACATTTATTTTTAAATTTTTGAACCCCATCCAACAGTACTCATAGGCTAAATGCTTTGAGAGAGCTCCAAGAAGTTCAGGACCTGGGGGAACATGCAGTGCAGAGATGGAACCCAGGCCTGCTGCATTCAGATCATGTGCTCAACTCATCTGGGTGATCTCACTGATCCAATTTTTGTCTTTTTAAGTATGAGACATGACATGATATACAGTATTTCAGTTTTGATTTTGGTCCCCTAGGGCTTACTCTTGGCTGTATGCTCAGGGACAACTCCTGGTGGGGTTCAGAGGACTATATGATGCAGGGAACTAAACCTGGGTCTATAAGGTACAAGGAAAGCGTCCTACCCACTATTTCCAGCCCTGTATGCAGTATTTTTAACTTTGATTTCTTTTCTTTCACACTGTTAGAACAGTGGGAGGGTTCAAACTGTCCTAAGTAGATGAATACTTAAAGCATTCAGGTGGACATATCTGCCCTTCCTTTTCTTAACCTCCTTCAGAAATAGTCCACAGATTTCTTGTTAATATTATGAACATTTTCATGATCAAATATAGGCTAAGACTCTAACTTTAGAGTATTTGAAACTGAAATCAATGGGATTTTTGGGGGGTTGTTTGTTTGTTTTATGCAAGCCTAATCAATCTTCAAGCAATTTGAGGCCTTTTCCCCTGGCTTTTGAGCCTAACAGAAGCGATACCTCCAAAAAAAAAAAATCATGAAATATATCATGGAGGCTGGAGACATTGTTCAGTGGATGAGGTGCTCACCTTGCATTCAGTCAACCTGGGTTTGATCCCTGGCACTCTGTATGATTATTTGAGTTCCGCTGGGAGTGATCACTGAGTGCTGAACCAGGAGTAATACTTCTGGGTATGACCCAGCAGCCCCCAAAATATATACCATAAGAAAAAGTTTTTTCATGATCACATTCCAATTTATGAAACTAAAAAGCTTAGAATGATTCATTTATGAAACTAAAAAGTTTAGAATAATTCATTTAAATAGTTCTGTTTTCATTACTAGGTTTGGAGAAAATATTAGGGTCTTTTGTTGTCTAAGCTTCCAGAGGGAACTAAACCTGGGTATAATCCTTTTTCTTAATCCTGGCAGTTTCAAGGGGATTCTTCTGAACTACTTCCCTTGTACAATGTACCTTTCTCTTTCTATTCTTTCAAGGAAACACATCCAACATCCTTTGGGTTCTTATGTCCAACACTAAGTAATTGAAACTTCTCTGAAGTTTCCGAGTTTTTTTGGTTTACCTGAAAAAGTTATACATTTAAGGTATAGGTTTATTTTTTAAAATATGATAAAGTTCCATATGTTTGCATCATTCTCATAGATCTCTCCTGTTTTTTATACCTGGCCCAAGTAAATTATTTTCACCCCTAAGGACAAAGAAAGGACAAAGTTTATCTAATCTTTCCCATATCCAGTTCCTGTTATATTGAAGAAAAAAAAGCAAGATCCTCTCTGAAGAAAGACTGAAGATAGGGAAGAAAATAGCTGGTGTGAACTAATTAATCAAAGGAGTCATTTGGGTTTTAATGCTCTTCCCTGGAGCCCTTCAAAGGGAGCATCTTAAGTCATATCTTCATTTTATTGAAATTAAATCACAAATCTAAAGCCCTGATTTTGGGTGTTTTGAATTAACATCCAAAGTACTTAGACTAATACTGTGATCATCTTGAATACTGT